CCTGGGACACACCTGAGGAGACCTCGCGCAGGTGGGGGAGGGGCGGGGCCGCTCGGGGTCATTTTGGGGTCATTCGGGGTCATTTTGGGGTCATTCGGGGTCATTTCGGGGTCATTTTGGGGTCATTTTGGGGACATTTGGGGTCATTTTGGGGTCATTTGGGGTCATTTTGGGGACATTTGGGGTCATTTTGGGGTCATTTGGGGACATTTGGGGTCATTTCGGGGTCATTTGGGGTCATTTTCGGGTCATTTCGGGTCATTTTGGGCTGAATTTGGGATATTTTGAGTAAATTTGGGTCATTTTGGGTAAATTTTGGGTAATTTTGGGTCATTTTCAGTCATTTTGGGTCATTTTGGGGTCATTTTGGGACATTTTGGGCTGAATTTGGGATATTTTGAGTAAAATTGGGTCATTTGGGGTAATTTGGGACATTTTGGGGTAAATTTGGGACATTTTGGGACATTTTGGGATATTTTGGGTAAATTTGGGTTGAATTTGGGACATTTTGGGTCATTTTGGGTAAATTTTGGGTCATTTTGGGTCATTTTTGGACATTCTGGGTGAATTTGGGACATTTTGGGACATTTTTGGTCACTTTGGGGCATTTTGGGTCATTTTGGGTAAATTTGGGGCATTTTGGGCTGAATTTGGGTCATTTTGGGTCGATTTTGGCCGATTTTAGGTCAATTTGGGTCAATTTTGTCCAATTTTGTCCGATTTTGGGCCAATTTTGGGTCGATTTGTGCTGATTTTGTCCGATTTTGGGTTGATTTTGTCCGATTTTGGGTCGATTTGTGCCGATTTTGTCCGATTTTGGGTGGATTTCGGCTGATTTTGGGTGGATTTGGGCCGATTTTGGGTGGATTTTGTCCGATTTTGGGTGGATTTCGGCCGATTTTGGGTGGATTTCGGCCGATTTTGGGTGGATTTTGGCCGATTTTGGGTGGATTTTGGCCGATTTTGGGTGGATTTCGGCCGATTTTGGGTGGATTTTGTCCGATTTTGGGTGGATTTGGGCCGATTTTGGGTGGATTTTGTCCGATTTTGGGTGGATTTCGGCCGATTTTGGGCTGCTGTCGCTCCCCAGCTACGGGCGCTGCCTGCAGCTCCTCCTGGCCTCGCTGGCCCGGCCGGGCTCGCGCCTCTCGCTGATGGTGGCCACGCACAACGAGGCCTCGGTCCTGGCCGTGCTGGACAGGTGACCCCGGGGAGCCCGGGGCGATCGGGGGGGGTTGGGGGATTTTGGGGGATTTTTGGGTGATTTTTTAATGATTTTTTTGTGATTTTTTAATGATTTTTTAATGATTTTTTAATGATT